AACTGAGAATTTGAATACATTGAAAGTAAATTGAACATTGATTGCTGAAAACTGAACATTACAATTGATGAAAGTAGAAAATTACAAATGCTGGTGCAGGGGGCGAACACCAGTGAGCTTGAAAGATTTTTGAATGACTAATACCCCCTATAATAGCATTCTGAACAAAAACCTAAGTGACGGGAGTAGACGTTTAAAAGACGAGGAATCATACTAATCTTTTACCAATATCAGAGCTATTTTACAATTAAAATAACTATTACAATGAAACGAAAATTACAACTCAAACTTGAAGTAATATTTACAATGTGCGGCCGAAGTTGGGCAAACTGCGGCTGCGATAGTATCAAGGGGCTAAGTAAAGCTGCGGTCCTTGACACCAAGTGTTGGAAAAATTAATGCAATAGAGAGGGAAGAATGAAATGTAACAAAGGGAAAAATATATAGAAATAATCAACGAAGGCTTACCACGAAATTAATCTCGCTATCCTCAAACGTTATTTATCTCCTTTCCATCGACAAATAGTTCGTAGGATTAAACAAGCCTTTAAGAGAAGAACACCAAAAAGCAAAAGTGTATCTTCACAATGAACAAGTGAAAAGAAATGAAGTGATTATATAATAATTTCCTCCCAATTTTGGAAGAATAATTTTGGGGATAAATTTCAATGGAATTCTATATTATTTCTTGACTTTGGATCACCTATTTACAGGTCTTGACAAGTTCTCACGAAATGGTGTAAAATAAGGATGAAAAGCCACCAATTTTAAATAAAAAAGGGTCAAAATCCGACCCAACGGTCATATATTGTCAACAACCATGCTGTCGCATGATTACAGCCTCGCCGGTCCTCTCATTCTCAGGAGGGCCTCATGCGACTGTATGGGCTTAATCCATACGGTCGCGTAGTTAAGTCCTATTTTTTTTTCTTTTGACTTTGAACAAATAAATTTCAACATCGAGTATCGTTTTTCTTAAAAATAATGTTCAGCATGTATTTCAAATAAAAGTACGTAAAGAAAAAGGAGACCGTCCGTTGCTGGGCTCCATCAAATTTATTACAGACGGTTGGAAAATTTTACTCTAAAAATGAGACAAATTTTACGAGTACAATTTTATGCTTCAAAGCCTAAGCTGGATTAGTTCTTTAACATGAATGCTTCCTTTTCAATTGGTTCCTGATGTTACCTATAGTAGCTTTTGAGTAAAGTTTCTGATTCACATCAAAGGTCAAAAGGAAAACCTCAAACTGAGTCAACCTCACTTGATTCACATCAAAGGTCAAAAGGAAAACCTCAAACTGAGTCAACCTCACTTGGAACTAAAAGAACAAAGTGGAGACACCACTTGCAGCTCAAATTAACATAACTCAAGTGATGACTTGTGTTGAGGTTGCTTTTTAAACTTTGTAAAGGGCCGAGTTAAGAATATACTTACATATATATGTGTGAAAGTGTGCGCCCACCAAAATATTTTAGGTAAGTCTAGATTTTCTTGAAAGAGTATTGTTACTACCTTGCTCTACGTGAATACAATATCCAAGTCACATCAGATTTAAGAGTAACGTGTCACAAATGTCCACACCACGATGAGCAGCCCAATCGGTTGTGTGAACCTTTACCTGACTCACTCAATCCACATTAGCACAGCAAGGTCAACGACCCTGCTCGCCTAAGACGGAAAAGGATCTATCAAGGAATTTGTTCCCCAACAAATCGTACGGCTAGGGGGAAACAAAGCAAGCTTAACCCTTGCCATGAAACATATGGCAAATGGTGAGCCAACATGCCTTGCTAAAGCTTGAAAGGGAGTTAATGAAGCACTAAACATGTGACTTCATAATAATTGTTTAAAAAGACAATTACATCTCCAAGTGGTAAGAGGACCATTGCCTCATAGGTTAAAATCGTTAAAGAGTGTAAACAAAATTAAGAATCATTTGGTTGATAATATCGTCCATCAAAAGATAACGTCTAGATAGGAGGTTTTAGAATTAGAAATCCTCGTCCATCAGCAACATGTGTTCAGGGGGTCGCCAAAGGTCCAATTTACTCTAAAACCTAGTTTTTCCTATAAATGTTCCATGCAACATGAAGGAAAATATATGAAATCAAAATATCTAACCAAATCTCTGTACATTTTATTTGTTTTGCGCTTATATCTTATTTTTTTTGGAACAAACTTCGCCATCAGTATGAAAACGGTGGCTGAACCACCGATGGTTATTTTTGCAAGCTCATGGTTATTTGAGTAAGTTCGGGGATTGGTGGATGGAAATGTGATCGAGATTTTGAGATTGGAAAAAGATACCAAAAAAAAGTGTGAGCATGCACACCTAGAAAAAGGAATGAACTAAGGTTTGTTTAATAGCAACAATTTTCCATGGAACTAGGAAATGCAATTTCATTTTCCATCTTTTTGGCTGTTTGATAGTTTCTTCTTTTTCCATTGAATTCGTTTTCTTGGTTTTCAAGAAAAATAGGAATTAGATTTCCAGGCAACTGTTTTTTGGCAATGGAGACAAATTTTATCCCTAAATGTAAAAAAATATTTTCCTTCAATTGATAATTTTCATGTGAAACAAGGCCAAACAAACATCAAAGGATAAATGATTTTCTTCATTTTTTTTTTGGCAACGGAAATAAATTCTATCCCCAATATTAGTAAATTTTATCCCATTAATTGATAATTTTCATGTAAAATAAAGCCAAACGAACGCTAAAAAATACTTTTATTTCAACATTTTTCAATTGAAAAATTGTATCAATCAAACAAATAATTGACAATTCCCAATAAAGCAATTATTAGGCAATTCTTTTCTGAAATTCGTTTTCTTTCTACCCAAATTCCATTCTCGCAATCAAACGTACCCTAAAATTATAGTCTCAAGAGCCAGAAGAACATTGAACTCTGTTTGACCCATATTCTCTAGAAACTCATTTTTTTTTCGAAACTCATTTTCAATCATATATTTTTTTATTAAAATAATTTTGCATGTAGAATAAAAATTTTCCACTTTTTAATGAAACATTCTTCAAAAAGTCACTATTACAAAATTTATTTTTTCAGAAAATAGGGTAAAACATACCCTGAATTGGACTTGATTACATTAGGTTATAATTGGTACGCAGGAAACTTTTTAACTTAAATTCATGCGTAGACCCCAACTTGAACTAAGAACTCAAGGGAAGACATGATGGAGATGGAGTTGGAAACAAGGCGGCCCGTTCAAGGTGGGGCGGGGCGTGCTCTTGTCCCATTTACATATCAGTTTAATTTTTTTTTTAAATAGTTTTTAATAATTTATTTTATTATTAACATTCATTCGAGTGAGACAATAAAATAGTTATTAAATTTTTTAATTAATCTATTTATTTGTAAAGGATAAATTATTGGAATATATTTGATAAACTAAACCTTTAATTATTTATAATATTTTTTAGATAATTTTAGATGTCATCTTTCTATTAAAATTTATAAAATTGAAGAGAGTCTTTTTATTTAAAGTATTGAATTCTTAAATTTAAAAAAGAAATAATGGAGAGGGCCCCTCCTCGCCCCATACCCAACCCGATTACTAGATTAAGCAGGTGTTCGGGACGAGACCCCGCGAGCATCGAGTTTACTCGATTTTTTTATCATCCCTAGATGGAGATCATAATCAATTACATGTTGAAGACTTGTCAAAATTAGATATTTGTATCAAGAAAACAAATATTGTTATTATTATTATTATTATTATTATTATTATTATTATTATTATTATTATTATTATTATTATTTTATAGTTGAATTACTACCTTCCTTTAATTATAAATTAAGTTGAAGATCGTAACTTTTTTGTTTGAATGATGCTACATGTACACTTCTTGTGTACATAATGCATTAAACCCTCCTTACATGGAGAGGAGCCACATATATATTATTATATGCAGATCGCTCTCCATGGAAAATGGTGTAATTCATTATATACACAAAAAGTATGCCAGTAGACTAATTATTTTTATGTTATTAGTATTCTGCATAAGTCAACGGGCCATAAATCACTAGTTCAATAGTCAGGTCACTCATTAAGGCGAGGGATCAATATTTAGATAATCATATGAGATTTTTATGTATTATTATTTGAGCTCTTTAAATCATTTACACCTTAAAGCTATGACAAATATGATCGGGACATGTAGGTTACATGTAAGAACACTGGCGGACCCAAGGTGGGTATTGGTGGGTCAATTGACCCACCAACATAAAATTGACTTTTTTGGGGGGGGGGGGGGGGGGGGG